TTGGGTCAGGGGATGTGCCGAGTCGATGACAGGCGGATTAGCGGGGCGCGAAGGCGCTTTGACAGCACTTGAAAGTTCAACTTCGGCGCCTGCATCATCATCTATGGTTTCGATCTTGGCCGCTGGCGGCGTCTTGCCGGGCCGCCAGGGTGTGATCGGCTGCATCGTACTCGGAAGGAAGGTTTGTTGCTCGACCATGCTACGATTCGCAACAGGTCTCCTGCTGGTAAATGTCGACTATGTTTTTCGCCACTGGTCATGCGGTCAAGCGAACGAGAAATTGCATTTGAGAAACTGGGACGCCAACAACACATTGTAGAGCTCCATGGTGGCTCATGTGCTGTGAGTTCAAGTGAGGAAATGGATCTCGTCATCGCCAAGCTGAATGGTGCTTTCGGCTCAAGTGGTCAGACGTACGTACTTGGGAACACGAGCTGCCGATGGCCCTGCAAAATCGTTGTGGCCAGCCAGTTGAGGCTCCCTCCATCCTCCACGGGCCACATTTGCGCGAGTCCGGACCTTGCCCCGGCTGCACAGACCAATTAGCCAACCAACAAAACAAATCAGTCTAGACCCTTGAAAACATTTGTTGCTCCTTCACCAAGTCTGGATGCGAAACTAGAGCTCACGAGTCTCGTCTCGCCTGAAGTTGATTCCGAGCCAAAATGCAACATTGCAGTGGCCAAATCGCAGTTGCATCCGGGATCGCTTTTTGGATCTTCATCGCTGATAGTATATTCACTGCAACCGTTCGCGGATTCTGATTGCTGACAAACGATGAGGGAACACAGGCTGCATAGCCCAGTCAATGCTCCAGGATGCACCAGAGCATCAATCAGCTTGCAGAGCAGGAGGTCCCATTCCACCATGAACTTGATTTGTACGTGGGCGATAGCAACGAACGGTTTCCCCAGGGACCTCGGTAACGATTATACCGGAAGGGTTGACGAGCACGAGACAACGCCTGCTACCTACAGCATGCCTCGCAGGAACAGCCGGATTGTCCGCAGATTCGCTCTGTTGCCGACTCTCCGGACTGGCTCTACATGTTGGCGGATGAAGTGGAGCCTTTCGGGGCGTGCTACACTAGGCTCGTGGTCGAGATCCGGCGTAACTTCGCCGAAATACTCCCGCCTGCGACAGCCCGTTGCTGTTGCCGTTTCTCCTTGGATGAGAACGAGTAAGACTTGCATGCGATGTTCCGTGCGACTAGGTTGCTGCTCAGTAATTCAAAACAACAAAGCACTGCCGTTTCTCGCTTGTATTGCTCATCGTTGACGAGGACGGCTAAGAAAATGCGGTGATCTTTCTTGGCGCCGAATGGCCTGTTCGAGTCGTGTGCTTCGACTGCATGAGCGACGCCCATGTGTAGCGTCGCATCGTCTCGAATGCCATCACCCAGCCTCTGCTTTCTGAAGCTGGTGCAAGGCTTGAGGGAAAGGACAGAAGGAGGACAGGGTCAAGCGTCTTTATTAGGTTCTACATCCCCAATCTAATGAATAAAAAAACGGCGGCTGACATGAGTCGGCGCACCTGCGTTTCAAGGACACGTCGTCACACACAACTGGATCCGACGTCACGGATAGGCCAGTGTTACTACCTCCGCAACCAGCTTCGCGGTAGTAGGCGAGCCACAGCGCCGGCAAATCTTTTGTCGCCCGTTTGGCCAGCACCATCTACTTACAAACCTGCAGCATCGACGGCAGGTAGCGCAACCTCGTTCTCTCCCGACCTGTCTTGGCTTGGCTGTTCTCCCCGTAATTTGTACGCCCTCACCCAAAACTGGGATTGCAGGAAGATTCCGTAGTTGAGTGACCTCCATGGCCTAGTAGGGTCACACAATACCAAGTCATATCTCCGCAGCAGCTGACAGAAGCGTCAATACGTCGTCTTCGCAAGAGCAGAACCATACGCCGGATACGCCGCAGCAACGTACCTCAACAAAAATCTTCTGTAGCTCCATCATCGCCACATTCCTTCCCAAGCATCTCCATTTTCCGTGGCCAAACACGAGCTCAAGCGTTGTCTCCATCGATCTCAAGCTCCCCGCATCCGCCGTGAGCCATCGATCCGGTCGAAAGTCGTCGGCGTCCTGTCCCCAAACGTCGCTTCGGCGGAAAATGCCCCACGCTCCGTATCCGACGCGCGTTCCCTCCGGTAAGTACACGCCTTTGAAGGTGTCGCCGCCTTCGGGGACTTCCTTCGACATCTGTCCGACAACCGGGGGGAAGATACGCAAGCCTTCCTTGATGACAGCCTGCAGGTAAGGCATCTTTCGCGCCTCCGCTTCGTTCACGACAGGCCAAGACGGCTGGAAGCGCTCGATCTCCGCACGAAGTGTCGCGAGAACGCGTGGATTGGTGATGAGGTGAAGCAGCGTAGCTCGGATCGCAGTGGCCGTCGTGTCTGATCCAGCGAGTCTGTCGGAGAGGATTAGTGGAGGCCTCAGAGTGTAGCACAGAAGAGATCTACTGAAGAGATCTTGGCAAGTCGTACATTTGCATGAGGATCTCCGATGACGCCTCTCCTTGCGTTAGGCCGTGCGTTACGAAGGAGCCAAGCATATCTTGCCTCGTCTTCTTGCTTGGTCCGAAGCGCTCGCCGGCGATTTCCTTGGCCATCCTGTCAACATGTGTCAGCTATACTGGACTTGCGAGTACACATCACAGACCGCGCAAGTCGACGGATCGGCGGTCAAGCCCCGACCAGGTCCGACATGGGACGCAAGGAAGACGCACCGTATTAGCCTTCCGAACCCGGTGGCATCATTTTCCGAAGGCAACAGCCGCCGAAGCAGAGGCAACGATAACACGTGGAGTAGAGAGGGCAGAACGGCCGCGACGACGATATTCGGCATGCTTTGTTCCGTCGTGTGGATGTAGTCGTAAACGTCCGAATCGGAGGCCAGATCGCCGAACGGCTTGCCGAATGCGAGATCTGAAATAACGTCGAGTGTGAAGTACTGCGCCCTCAGACCGAAGTCGAATCTCTTGTCCTCGGAAGCGTACGC